AACTCTATTAGCAGGTCTTTGCTTCCTCCACTTCCTGGCTGTATAGATATCTATCTATTTATGCTAAGTGGCATTTATCTGGTCGCAAATATTACACCTTTGTCACTTGTATGTCTCTTGTGCTTTGTTTTAATATTTACAGGGAATACAACTTCAAATAAATTACAAAGGCCTTTTAAAAACAGAACAGTGGGAAGGGAAGACAGTCCTGTGTAGACTTAAAAATAAAGGCTCAAACTAAGGCAAATCGTGGTTTATTAAAATTAGTTTTAATTTTTCCAGACGTGCTCAGGGAGAGGAGGGGTCATGGTCCGAGAGACTAATCCTTCTATCACCTGTGTATTTATACATAAACAGTGAAGTTCTCAACACAAATTAATGCTGTTATTGTATCCATGCTGCTCATAAACAGCTACTAGAACTGATCAAAATAAAGTAACCATTACTTTTAGTTTTTCGTATTTTGCTCAGTGCTAAAGAGGGAATGTTTACTGCATGTTAAATAGCATAAGCCCTTGAAAACTGCACATAGTTGCATTTTGATATGAGATTTGCAACTGACTCCAAGTTTGTGAAGATGCACATTAAAAAAAAAAAAATGTTTGAGCATATAATCATGTCAGAATTCCTGGTATTAATTTTTTTTTTTTACATTTTTTAATTGAGATTTTGTAGTAGTAAAAGATAACTTTTTCTTTTTTACCCCTCGGACTGTCTTGTCTTTTCTTACACGGCTGCAATATACCACTAAAATAAGTATGATAGGTTAATTTAATTTATCTTGTCTTCCTTTCGTGACTGATCTCATAGTTGAAAATTGCTGTCCATTGGTCTGTCCTGTTGTTTTCATTGCCATCCTCTATGTTGTGTGCCGAGCAGAACACAAGTGGTGATCTGCCTTATCTGCCTCAAAGTATGCAGTGATCCCTTCTTGGCCAAATTGCAGAACTGGTACTTCATCCTTTATTTCCTGTGTGTGTCGGTGCTATTGAATGTATTCCTATCCTGGATTCTGGTCTTGTTCTGGTTGATTTTACTCCTTATAACTTGATCATACAGCATATGCTGTTTAGGTCCTCCTCGGCCTCATACTTGTACAGGTAGTTATTGATGTTTGGACGGAATGAAACCTAGCCTGTGCCCTCATAATTTTATTTACTGCTATTTTTTCCTTCCCACTCCTCCTCCCACAGTCCAGTAAATAAGATCTTGACCTGTTCAGACTTATCCCAAGAGCCTCTGCAAAACTTGCTTGTTTTGACTGAGGCGTCTCTCTACTTTCTGTTGCCTTGCAAAATCCTAACAGCTTGTCCTCAGACTTTCTCATGTTAAATAGTAGAGGTTGTTGTACGAGAAATCAATCCATAAGTCTTGAACCTACTTGTTCTACTTTGTGCTACCCCTGTGTAAGGCTTTGTCTGAAGAGGTTTTGTCTGCAAACTCTTACCCTGTGTGGTAACTTAAAGAAGAGTTTAGTAATGCCGCAGGCTACTATGCCAACCCTAGAATAAGCACGTTTAAAAGTAACTTATTCTGAAGAACTTCAGAAATTTTTTGTATGCGGGAGAAACTTAGTGAAACTTATGATCAACTTTGTTGCAGGTTGGAAAATGCATTCTATGAGCATGCACAGACTTACTATTATACAGAAATACGAAGAGTTAAATCTCACAAGGAGTTCTTGAACAAAACCACTCATCAGGTAATGTTACCCTATTTTTGAAATACCGTGCAAGTTATATTGCATATTACAACAAGAAAATAAGTGTTGTTTGTTGCTTAAATGTTTTTATTTCCCCTTCCAACTTGAGATGCCTTCTTTCAGTATAGAAAGTAAATCTGATTTTATTTTCTGCAACTTAACATTTGCTTGGCTTTGTTCTTACATTTATTTGTCTTCCTCACACCTTCCTTTTCCTTAGAGGAAAATTGTACAGGAAGAGCCACAGCTGAAAAATGAATTTCTCTGATTTTTTTTAAAAAAAAGTTAAACTTTCTCTATGGGTTAACCTATTTGACTGTAGTATCTTAACAAGTTGTGGGAAGTGCTTCCCTTAGAAGCTCAGAACTTAAACTTGCCCTTGGTTTAGCTTTTAGCTTTTGCTTTTCAAATTGTTAAATGTCTGCTCAGACATGAAATGTTCTGTTGCGATTGCCAGCTTCCATCTCTTGGAAGCTGGGATCTGCGTGGTGAGCTCCAAGCAAACAATCGACACTGGTGTAGAGATTTTGGGGTGTTACAAAGCCTCTGCCCCGTTCCAGCTGAAAGGCTTGGAATAGATTAAATCTGTTGAAAGATCACTGCTGCATCATGGTGGCAGAGCGATCTATTGGGAAACAGCTGCCTAGTCAGTTTTTCAAGTCAACTGTTATATTATGTAAAACTGGGAAATTATCACCTCTATCTGCTTTGTCGGTAACAGGTATGTTCGGATGTTTGTGAGTGACATACACTGGTTATGTTTTGCAGCTTTTGTTTGTTAGACACCAGTTCAAAATAGCATTCTTCAGTGAGCTGAAACAGGATACGCAGAATGCTCTCAAGTAAGGCTCACATAATCTTCCCCCACCCTCTCTGCCCCAAATTACTGCTAAGCCATAGACAATAATAAGTATTTTCCTGAATGCAAAATTATTTAAACGTGTATGTAAAGGGTGAGTTCTTCACTGGGAAGAACACTCTGATTGGAAGGCTGTTTTCTGCTGTCAGCAATCCTGTTCTTAAATTTTATTATCTTGTGTGATTTAACTCTGATTTAAGTATTCCTGCTTAGAAATTACAGAACTGCCTATAATCTTGTGCATGAATTGAGGGCTCATGAAACAAACATGCTGGAAATCAAGACCATGGCAGGATTTATAAACTACAAGGTAACAAGTGTACTTCTATCTTTCACAACCTTTACTTAAAAAAAAAATAGTTGATGCATCTCTTGTGTAAATATTTTGAAGTTTGGTTTTATTTTTATTTTTTTTTAAGGAGATGGATTAGAAACAGCTATCAGTGGAATCCCAGTTACACTGAGACTCACAAAGACTTCTGAATTCCACACAAAAGATAGATCCTTAGCTGAAGTTTGGGGGTATCTTGAAGGACTGGAGTTCACTTGAGATGCAGTCATCTGAAAGACTAGACTTTCTTTAACTTTCCCTCTGTGCAGGAGGAATGAAAACAAGGGTTGCTTGTTCTTCAAATATTTTTGTTATCTTGCAAAGTTTAAGTCGGTCTCATTCAATTACTACTTGTTAGGAGGAGGCAAATAATGCTTTAAGAATCAGACCATACTTTGTGGTATTTTGGGGGCTTTTAGGTAAAACAAAACTATCCCATCATTTACAACAATCCTGGAGTTGGACTCTGTCAAATTGCACTTGCAGGCTTCAAAGATAATGATCTTCCTAGTGGCTTTGCAGTTCCATCTTGAATTTGGCCATGACTTATGCCCTCTTCCATTGATGACTTGGGGGACAAGGGGAGGAAAAATAGTGCTAGATGAAGGCACTATTGTTGAGGCCCCATCCCTGGAGGTGTTCAAGGCCAGGCTGGACGTGGCCTTGGGCAACCTGATCTAGTCAGAGGTGTCCCTGCCCGTGGCAGGGGGGTTGGATCTTGATGATCTTTAAGGTCCTTTCCAACCTAAACCATTCTGTGAGTCTATGAAACAGGGGACCACGTGGTTTCAGGTGTAGTACATTATGGTTTACATCTGTGTTTTCTCCCTCTGTCTTCTATGCTATTTGATCTCTTCAGAAACACATAAAATTAGTTTGTTTTGGGGTTTGTGCGTGGCAGGTTTTTTGGTTTGTTTTGGTTTGGGGTTTTTTTGGGTTGGTTTGTGTTTTTTTTTTTTTTTTTTTTAAAGCTAATCCTTAGCAGCCTAACACAGGTTTTATTTCCTCCTATTTTGATTTCTTCTAGATCTGTCGCCTCTGTTTTCAACATAATACTCCACTGGATGCAATTGCTCAGTTCAGGAAACACATCGACTTGTGCAAGAAAAAAATAGGAAGTGCAGAACTGGCTTTTGAGCATGCTGCCTGGATGTCTAAACAGTATGTTTATGCTTAGTAATGTTTCTGTTTTAGTTCTTATAACCTTGTGAAGTTCACTGTTTTACTTGTCTAGGCAAGATACAAATTCTGAACTCTTTATCTAAGAAAGAGATATACTATATCATGAAAACTGTATGCTATTATTCTGTTTTGCGTTAATTATTGACCACTTTTCTCTGGGAATGAACAGGGTATGACACAAATGCAGCCATAGAACTTAGATGCAAAACTTCAGAGAAGTGTCATCTGCCTCGAGACTAACTAGAACTTTTAATTGAAGTTTACATTTCAGTTCAAATTGCTATTCTGTACCTAATCTTGGTTATGAATCTTTTTAATAGATTTCAGGCTTTTGGTGACTTGTTTGATGAAGCAATTAAGCTGGGATTAACAGCAATTCAAACGCAGAATCCAGGTTTCTATTACCAGCAGGCAGCCTACTATGCACAGGAACGGAAACAACTAGCAAGTATGCTTTGTAACCATGATGTAAGTTAGGAGGGGAGAAAATGCTTTACAAGTAACCAAATAGTAAATTAACCAGTGTTTTAGTCTCAAATGGTTGTGGAATAATTGGTTATATGTGTAAATTAAATCAAAGAAAGGATATGTGTTTTTCTGATGCTTACTAACACTACAAGCCTTTGTTATGTACTGGAAAAGTTATTCCGGAACAAATTTTTTAGTGTTTATTTTATTACAAAAAATTCTGATATGTTTTTAACATACTTCTAAAAAAACCTCTATACTTCCTATGTTTCTGGATACTTGAAAACTTACTGTTTTGGCTTTTCCAGTATATTTCTCTCTACATGCACTGTATCTGTTGACTTACAGGAAGCAAAGAAACAAAAGCATTGTTATTAGTGTGTGTGTGTGTATGTGGGGGGTGGTGGTTGTTGGTTTTGGAGTTTTTTTGAGACTTGCCTGCCAGAAAGGGTTGCATGGAGAATCGATCTCTGCAGTCGATTAAACATACATGCTAATTATATGTAGCTACTCTCCAGCTGACATGTCCTGATTATTTTAAAATGTCTTTGTTCCTATTGGTGCTATTCATTTGTTATCCTTGGATTATCTTGTTAGGAACTAGTTTTAAAAAGGGTTACCTAGTTATTCTTTAACAGTATTTGAGATCAACAAAGTAGAATGTCAGACTGAATGAGAAGTATTTAAAACTTTGGGTTTCCTGAAGTACTATTTTTATAAAGGTGGCCAGAAAGGTTAAATGTTTTAAAGCGAATTTCTTCTGTTATGTGCATGTGTGTTGGAGCATCAAATCACCTTTAATGCTTTAAAATAAAACATGAACCCTTTTTTATGACTGTATTTGCTGAATTTACAGTCCTCTGTGGTATATCCCAATCCGGATCCCCTGGAAACACAAACTGGAGTGCTTGACTTCTATGGGCAAAGACCGTGGCGGCAGGGAATATTAAGTACGTTTCTGTGTCTTTATCTGTGGAGTTCGGACAAACTCTTTAGCTGCTGCTTCTGCCAGATGACTCGGTGGGCATCAGCGTGTGATCCCTTTTCCACTGAGACAGATGCAGGGCTGGGACCTCACTCTCTCATTAGCTGGTGGTACGACTTGAACAGGTGTTAACTGGAAGTGCAGGAAATGTGTTTGATTTCTATAACAGATAGAAAAAGGAACCTCCAGGTTTATGCAGGGTCAGATCTTCAGCAAAGCTGCATAGGCCATGCTGAAGCTCTGCTGCTGCTCTGTTTCTACTGCTGCCTAAGCCATCTGTAGTCAGTGTGCTGCAGGTTTTTGAATGCCTGAGTCCATGAAATGCACTCCTGGGAAGAGAAGTTGGACAGCTGGATACAGCAAAAGTAATGATGTCCCTGACTGCGACTGTTATAAATTCATGCTGCCATCCAGACTGTATCTTGTCAACTGTAGACAGGAACTCATGGTGTTTTTTTTTCTGAAAAAGCTTTTTGGATTTCAAAACGGATTGAGAGGATGCAATGACTAGATTTTAATCTAAGAAAGGAATTTGTGGTTTGCCTGTTAAGGAGGATGTTTTGTCAGAAATTCAGACTTTGAATGTACAGCTTTGAGCTGTGTATGAATAGACATGCAGTTCTGAAATCTTAATTGTTGACTGTGGTTTTACTACCCTTTCTCGCTCTCGGTTTGGTCTCCTATTCTTTATTCTCTACATATCCTTTGGGCTTTGCTGCTTTATCGCTGCTGTCTTTAAAAGACTATTTCATTTACTGTAAATTCAGTACTGTCCAACCTCTTTTATCTTCAAGTGTTACTGTTTTAAAATTAGAATCTAATGCCAGGGTTAAACAGTTTGAGAGGAAAAGAAATTTTACCTGTTATAACGTATTCAGGTTGTTTCGTTCCAGCAAGAGTTTATAGTCTTTTAAAGCCCTATACAGTTCTTCATATGTTGTTCTCTACCACTAGAGAAACATAAGCTTGAATCCTTGCTTGAGATCAGTTAGGAAAAGGGCTACAAATTTGTCTTGACATATGCGCTTTAAATGTTAATAGATGCAGTCTAAAGACGAGGTGTTACTGTAGACTGCTATTTTTGGGTAGCTTCAGATAAGGTTTGTTGTGTTTGTTTTGGTTTATTTTAAAAAAAAAAAAAAAGAAACAACCAAAAAGCAAGATATTTGTTCCAGGATTTCTTTTCTAGAACGCAGAGGATGGATGAGTTCTTAAAGCGCTATATCTGTTTCCTAGGCAAAAGAATGTTTAAGAGTTTGAGTGTCCTTAAGTTGGACCTTGCATTACATATAGCTTACCACTAAATAGTTCCCTTTGGGTCTGGACAAAATACCAATTTCATGGATTTTTCCTTGTCTTATGCAGGCTTTGATCTTTCTGATCCTGAAAAGGAGAAGTTGGGGATTTTATCCCTACAGTTGAAAGAGAAAAATGTCCTTCACTCAGTAAGTGTTATTCTACCAAAAAAAAATATCTGTTTTCTAACATTATCCTAATATTTTCATGTATAACAATATCGGTAATGGTTTTATCTGTTAGGAGCTAATAATCGCTTTGTTGAGTAATGCTGTCGCGCAGTTCAAGAAATACAAATGTCCAAGAATGAAAAGTCATTTGAGTGAGTATAGAAAATCGGATGCATTTTTTTTAAATTAACTTTGCAAAGACTTTCAGTGTTGATCTGATGCATTTTTTTTTTCTCTCAGTGGTTCAGATGGGAGAAGAGTATTACTACGCTAAAGATTATGCCAAAGCTTTGAAGTGAGTACCATCCATGACTGCTTCTTTCACATGCTATTCTCACTAAGACCCCATAAGACATTCTCACATAAGACCCCAAGTCTTATTGCTATGAAATAATGTTGGAAGCTCATCTAAGATGCTCCTAGTACCTGGATTTGATTGAAGCACAAGCATTGGAGTCTACAAACTCCACTTATACCAGAGAAAGCAAAACAGATATGCTAAGTCAGTCAGTAGAAAGACTTCCTGCTGTAAGCTGTTGTGGGGATTTGACTTACTGGGCAAATATTATTTATTTCTGGCTCACTGATTGAGTGCTGTCTCTCTCTCCCCCAGAAGTGATTTCTGAAACTTGCCTGCTACTGTAATGGGAATATAGTTACATTTAATTATAGACTTTGTAGTTATAAAATTTTAAAAAATATGGAAATGTAGCTGAATTTAATTTCTGTTTATATACCAGGGAATTAGCAAAAGGAATTCTTTTCATTGGTGCAGTTTTCTGCTATTAATGACTAGACAGCTAAGAAAGCTTAGTGCTGAGGTACAGCTGCCATCTTTTCTGAAGGATGTGTCTCATGCTTAGTGTCTTAACTTTGTATTTTTAAGGGGAAACGGAGTCAAGGTCATGTTAAGTAGGAGTCCCATAATGTTTGCATTAATTAGGTTTCAAAGATCACATGTTGTAAAGGGAGTATGTATGCAGTAGGAGACGTGTTTACTGTTGTTACTAGCTGACTGGAAGCTACGTGGAGGAGAAGATAGGCTTGGATAAGCAGGTCAACTTGTATCAAACCTAATTTTTATTCAAATAAGCATTTCTTGTTTAGGTAGATCTTTTCCTGAAGGAGGCAGAAACTCTTGCTTTGAACAGCTGAGAAGAGTTTTAAAAAAAATTCACTTCTCTGTTTTGCTAGTAATAGCAAGCATTACTTAGTGTTAAAACCATATTAAGGTGTGCAGATTTGCCTGATAAAGAGAGATGCATGTGTTGTTTGTAGATCTTTGAAACCCTTGAAGGGAGCAGGGGATAGAAGGTGGGAGCAGGGAATAGAAGGTGGGAGTGAAAAGAAGTATCTCAGCTTAAGGAACATTAAAATTCTTCAGTTTGGAAGGGGGCTTTATTGTGGGGTTTGGGTTTGTTTTTCTTAAGCTTTACCACTTACTCAGTAGTAAAGTGTATTTTTAATGCAGTGCTGGACTAAGACTCTTCTGTCCAGTTGGTGTTTTGCTAGTTCTTTATGTGAAGACAGGTGAGTTCTCCTGTTGTTCTCTTGTTAAAATTGTTCTAGCCTGAAATATAAATTCATGGAATAAATGTGTTTCTTTAATAATTTCATGCTGTCTTCAGTAAGTTAATGCCATATGAAAACATTAGACTAGACTTTAATCTAGCATTTATATTAGTGAAGATGAATTTTCTACTAATGATACCAAATAAATGCAAGTGTCTAAAAAATATTGGTGTGTATAACTTGGTTTTTCTCTCAATTTTACTGTGTTGCAGGCTTTTAGATTATGTTATGTGTGAATATCGCAGTGAAGGATGGTGGACTCTTCTCACTTCCATACTGACGACAGCTCTGAAATGTTCATATTTGATGGCCCAGCTAAAAGATTATATAACGTACTCTTTAGAGCTACTGGGTAGAGGTATTTTTTTTAAGAAATATACTCAGCCTATACAGAAAAATTAAAGTACGTGTGTTTGGAAGCCTGACAAATCATTGTCAAACAGTGCTTACATTACTTCAAACAATTTGACCACAAAATAACTGTATACCTGTGCTGATATACCTTTTTATTACTTTCTCTCATATGCTGGAAGTTGAATTTTCTTGCTCTTCTGTTATTAATTGCTTTCAAATAGATTGTGTGAGGCTATCCGAGGCACAGAGCTTTGTTTGACACTTCAAATAATGTAACAAACTTCCTGAGCTTTGGGATGAGGGAAGAAAAGCTAGCACCATTTTTCTGGACTTTGTAATCCCAAATGTACTTCTCTCAGACTTTTTACTAGCACTTTTCTGATGAAATATGCATGTGGTATGTTTTAGGAAAAAAAGGTGACATAGGGTGGCTGCACAGTAATAATGCAAGCACTCTGTTTTGTATAATGTCTGTTACTTGACATTGCAGAAATAATCCTTTTATGCCTTAAACTGCTAACTAATACTACTCTTAGAGTAGGTGTGGTAAAAATGGGTTTGCACCTTCTGTTACCTAACCAGCCTACTCTGCTTTCTGTTAAAGAATAGCCAATGAGACAAATCCACCTTCATCTTCTAGAGAAGAGTGCTTATTTTAATTTGTCCTTTTTTCTTCCTGTCTCCTTCTCTAGTTGTTATTTCTAATATTAGCCGAGCTTTGCTCTTTGCATGTTCCAGACTTCTCTAATGTTTCTTCTGTTTTTAAACATAAATGACAAGAAGGTATAGGCATTATTCTCTTGGGGTTTTCCTCCAATAAACTGTGAAATGCTTGTGTAGCCAAAAAATATTTCACTTGGTTCCAGTGGAAATAAGAGGAAACACTTAAAATGGGGGAAGTTCTGAAAACTGAATGACTCCTTCATTACCAGTAGATGTATGTTAGATTTTTTTTTTTCCCCCCAGCATGTGTGTTTTTGAAAGATGCAATCTAAAGAAAAGATTTCCTTTTAAGTTTGAACAAAAACAGTAAGAGAACTTGCTTCTGTCTTGTAATTTTTGGTTTTGTTCTGTGTGCTAGCATCTACTCTTAAAGAAGATCAGAAATCTCGAATAGAAAAAAATCTGATAAAAGTTCTAATGGTAAGTGGCAAAGCTCCTATTACCCTTTTGAATAATCTTAAGGGTGGTCAGTGTTTGGTAACTTTCTTTTGTTGTTATTTGTAATCTTCTATCTGGATACAGAATGAAAGCCCAGATCCTGAACCTGATTGTGATGCTGCTGCTGTGAAAGCATCACAAAAATTGTGGGCTGACCGTGTTTCCTTGGCAGGCAGTAATGTTTTTACGATAGAAGTCCAAGATTTTATACCATTTGGTAAGTAAGAAAGCAAATTTACACCAGATTATAAATTTCAGTGTAGTTATATCCTGAAAATAATTAATTAGGAAAAAACATGAAGCGTGTATTAAAGCCAGCAACACCGAAAAAAACGTGTTTTAGCACTGCTCTGTTCTTCATCTAAATCAGCAAGATAAGAAATCGTGAGAGAAGCCAGTGATCTCTTATCCCTGATATGGATCGCAAAAGAAGAATCTCTTGCTTTTTGAAAGACTTCTGCCACTCTGGTGTGCCTTGAAGTGAGATTTTGAGGAAAGAGGGCAGAATGGGTGCAAAGTAATAGTCCCCATAGAAAGGGGGCATGAGTAAGCGTTACCCACAAAAGACGTATATCTAAGTGTACAGATTTTCTGTTCTGCTGGACGTCTGCCTCGCCTCTCCTCTGCAAAGGTTTTGACCAAGGGCTGAAAAGTGGCTTTCTCTGACAGTGTTAGTAGCCAAACTTTTCCCACTTATGTACAAACTGAAGTTTTAAGCATATACACAGAACAATCCTTACTGCAATTATTTCAAGACTGTGCTTCTGGAATTTAATGTTGTCGTTTGATGTATTTAACACCTACTTCTTGTTTCTTTTTTTCCTGTTTTTTTTTTTTTTGTAATTCTAGTGCAGTGTAAAACAAAATTTCTTGCTCCTAGTTTTCATGTTGATGTTCCTGTGCAGTTTGATGTATACTTGAGAGCTGATTGTCCTCATCCTATCAGGTTTTCAAAGCTCTGCATCAGTTTCAATAATCAGGTAACTACGTTTTACCTCTGACCTAGTGATAGAAGCTTATCATAAGAATGGAATAATATCTATTAGTCATAAAAAATAAATAAAATCAAAACATAGACAAAAAAAATCAAAAGTTCTTTTCCAAAAACTATGTTAATGCTGAAGTTGGAAAAGTATTTTTTCGTTTTGTATTGTCTGTCACTTGTGACAAGTATATTGATCCTGTGATAAAACTCCCAAATGCGGTTTGATTAGTTCACCTATCATATCTTTGGTTTTCTATGAAGCTCTCTGAAGTTTTAGAGGGATCATTTTAATGTCTTACTTCATGCACGAACATCAAGAGAAATAACATTAATATAATGGATATCTTGTGTCAAGTAATTACATTGTAATTACTTACGAAGTCTTAACTTCAATAGCGTGAAAAGTAGCAAAAGGCCGTATAGTTTGATTCAGTAACACAGAGCTTAATATTTGCTATGCTACTGTTAATCTCTAAAGATGTTTTAAGTCCAGATTTATCAACTTTTTTCCTCTGCTCCTCCATTGTAGGATTACAACCAATACTGCGTAGTAGAAGAAGCCTATCAAAAAAGTGATATTCTAGAACAGTCATCTCAAGGAACAATGTGCTTAGTCCCTGGCAAAACAAGAAAGTTCACTTTCAAATTTGTTGCAAAAACTGAAGATGTAGGAAAGAAGATTGAGGTTTGTCAGTTTGTTTTACACCTTTCTTACTGATGCTTACAAAGAACTAAAAACTACAAAGCTGCCTTTAATCTGGCACTGGTTACTAATGTCGTTGCTGTTCCAAATATTTGAATTCTTGAAACTAAGTACCAAGAAAGAGAGTAAAATTTTATTGACAATGCCAAAGCAAAAACTTGTCACAAAAACTTAAGTATTGCTTCAAGTTTGTTTGTGATTTTTATATGTGCAATACATTAAAAGGAAAAATAAAAAAAGGGGGAGGGTGGTATAGCACTATGGGAGGGTAGGACACTACAAAATACTACACTGCACACACATGTGCACAGATACTTTTCCCACCACTGTTTCACTAAATTAAATCCTGGAGTAGTGAGGTGTCTTCAGTCTGCAAACCTGCCAGAAGCTTTTTATTGATACGGGCCTTTATTGTGCCTATATATGTTGGAAAACTATATTCTTACAGTTGGTGATTTGAAAACAAAGTTACCGGTATGTGTTTAAATTTGTATCTGTCAGATCACCTCTGTGGATTTGATCCTGGGAAGTGAATCTGGCCGATGCGTGATTCTAAACTGGCGTGGAGGAGGTGGTGATGCTGCTTCATCTCAAGAAGCATTGCAGGCAGCACGTTCCTTCAAGCGGAGACCTAAGCTTCCAGATAACGAAGTGCACTGGGACAGTTTGACTATTCAGGCAAGCACTATGTGAGTAAAAACTTGAAAACGTATATGGTGTATTGTTGGGAGTCTCTTGCGAATTCCTGATCACTTGGCCTAAAAAAAAGAAGACAGACTTGTTGGGTCTTCTTTAATATGAGCTCTTTAATATGTCTTTGCTTAACTGGGGATAAGATACGTACTATCTTAATTCTTTAGGATTTTTGAGGCTCCAGAAGTCTAGAAAAAGCTTGCATTGATCTTTGAGCATATCAAGTATGTTTTAGCTCTCCCCTTTGCCTAACTTGGCTAGGCAGACTTTCCTCAGATTTTTGTGCAAACTAGGAGGCGTTATTTTTCTCTTACAAAAGCCATCACACAAAGAAAGAATCCCTAAGAAACTGTATTGGAAAATAATTATGAATAAACAGGCTAACACTAATTTAGATGTATTCAAAAGAATTAAATCCGATTTGCTGTTGGGGGGGGTGTGCTTTTTTCTTTCCTATCAGAACATCTGAACCGTTAATGCTTATTACTGAATTCTAAATGGTTTTTATAGAGTTGTTCCCATCATGTTGCTTTTAAGGAATCTTGTATCTCTTAGTTATTCAACTACCAGTTGCCAGAACTCTCCTAAACAATAGGCTGTTTTAATCTCCTTCACACTAGGCTTAAAAACTTGTTATTTAAGAAACATACAGTAACTGAGTCTTTTCTCTTAAAGGATTATTTCTAGAGTGCCAAACATTTCTGTTCAGCTCCGACATGAGCCTCCTGCCCTGACTAATGAAATGTATTGTTTGATTGTGACAGTCCAGTCACATGAGGAGACAGTGGCCAAAGATGTTAAGCTTACAGCAGGTTTAAAGCCAGGTATTTGGGGTTATTTTCTTTTAATCCAGCAGTCTCCTAGTTGACTCCTTGCTCTTGATGCAATGCAGAGAAATATATTAAATGGCTCTCCTGCGGTAATTAAGAGCCAAACCAAAGTGAAGGTTGGGACCAATGAGATACTAGTGGTAAGAACAAGAGCTAACAGACCCATTCAGTTATGGTTCTCTTAACCGCTGCTTGTCAGTGGTGCTTACGTGGGTATTTTCAAAAGATAAGTCTTTACAAGTTTGAAAGAAAGAATGGAAGCTCTTGTGTTCCTTCCTAACCTTTTATTTAATTTGCTCATAACTAAATTTTTCTTTTCCTAAGATACAGGTATTTTTCTTGGTGAGATGAAAGCATTAGACAGAGCTAGATAAATGTTTTCGAAGTATAGTCTTTGTGGGTTTTCTCCCACGCCCACCCCTGCTTTTTTTCCCTGCCCTGGACAATGAGGTTCGGTTTTTAAACTACTTGACAACCACTTGAATTCTGGGAAGTGGTGGAGACAGTATTCCTTCAAATTAAAAGGAAAATGCAAATATTGTATGTCTAAGTCCTAGTTAGCTGTATGTAGATATTGCTGACAGTTTTCAATGTGTGAAGTCCAAATGTTACACTCAGTATGCCTATTTATAGCAATTATCCTAAAAGGCAAAAATATTTTTAAGCTACTAGCATATAGGATGCAATATGTGCTGTGTACTCTAAAATAGAACCACATTCCCTGTACATGTGTTTGGTTCACTGAAGTCAGTGGAGTGTTCGTTAAACTTATTTAATTGGATGTTTGGGCTTGGCTCTTAAAGCAGTGTTTAATAGTCTTGATTTATTTATTTTTCCCCCCCTTGATCTTAACCCTTAACACACGATATGCAAAGCCAAAGTGGGCTTGCTGATTACATTAACAGAACAATTGAAATTTGGTATTTCATTTATAGAGAAGCTAATATATTTTCCACAGTTGCAACTCTTTGGCAAGATGTGGCTTGTTTTGCTTTTGAAAATTATCCCACATGATTGCAGTAATGCCATTATTCTAGTTAACTTCTGACTGAAGTATGGTGTCATTTAACATGTATACATTTGTTTTTATGTATTTTCAACACAGATTTTAAAAAGATGGAAAATCATTAAGCCATTCTCTCGAAAAGAGAAGAATCACAAAACAGTGAAACTTTCCTTTTTACTTCATATAGAGTACCAAAAAAACTTGGATCACTTAATCATGTTGTGTTTTGTATAGGGTAGGGAATATCTAGATATGATTTCTGATTTTTGAGATTTTTTCTTTTTCCCTTGGCTTAAACAGATGAAACAAAACTGGCAGGATGTGATCCCTCCAAGTTAGAAAACTTAAAGTGTTGTCAAATCTATCCTCTGCTGGTACTTTTGAAAGCTTCCCTCAACCAAATGAACAATGTTAATTCCTCATGTATTGCTTTTTGAGATGAATATCTTATTATTTTTAGTTATTGCTTTCATGCTTCAGTGATGCAAGCTTGTGTGGATATGAAGACTGTTTTTAATCCTAGGGCAAGATGCCAACCTGACTCAGAAAACTCAGGTGACTCTTCATGGAACAGAAACATGTGATGACTCCTTTCCTGCACTGCTTCCTGATATCCCTGTAGGAGACTTGCAACCAGGGGAAAAGGTGAAGGCTTAAAACCTTCTTTCTGTATCACACTTCAGAAAATGGGGATCAAGTAATAAAAGACTCACAGAAGGAGCTATGTTTAGTTTCAGATATCTGAACTGATAAATGAAATGCTTATGGCATATTTTATCTACAGTTTACTTGTAGTTTAGTATTTCTTTGGCCAGATCCCCTTTTGGACTAAATTTGGGAATAAGGTATATTTTGGGATTGATGATACAGCAGGGAGATAAGAAATAAGATAAGGAGGCTAATGTCAGCTGTTAATTAAATGCACTGCCTAATGGACAGTAGATAATAATAGTTAGCAAGCGTGATCCAACATGGTAGAGGATCAGATACGCAGATGTTGCATCAAACTGAAATTGTGACTAGTAAATTAGAAGTTGGGTGTATTATATATTACACAGTAACGGTTCTCTTCTTGTACTGTTAAGTGACAGACGAGCATCAGTAGCAGAGCAACTGGAGCTACGCTACTCTGATTAAAGTCATTCACTGCGTGATTAAGATCATGCATTGTAGGAGATTCTTTGGTCAAAACACTATCCATTCTATTATTGCCCTCTTGGACTAAGTAAGATGATTAACAACTTTGGGCAGCTCTAGGCCTAGTTAATGTAATTTAGGTATAGCTTGGCTCATACTGTCTCCTTTATTTTGCAGCTTGAAAAACCAATATACATTCGTTGTGGAACGGTCGGCGCAAGAATGTTTCTGGTTTATGTTTCTTACTTAATCAGCACTGTCGTTGAGGGGAAAGAAATCCTCTGCAAGTGCCACCGGGTAGGATGTAAAGATGCACCAATTGCTGGAGACACGTTCATGAAATGCGAGAAATGTTCTCAGGCTAAAGGCTGTAATTCCAAGTCTCTTAGAAGCCTTTCTAGTAGATAGAAAAAATGCTGATCAGCAGTATGGTAGCCAAATTTAGGGTGAGCAGTTTCATAAGTATAATCGGAAGAAAAGTTTTCAATATTTATTCTTACATACCTTAGAAAGACATTCTGTCCTGGGGAGGGCTTGGTTAAACTGATGATTAAAAGTAACTTTACATTAGTAACCTTTGACATCAATAGCCAGACCTGGAACTGAATATAGTCTTTTTCCTCTCTCCTTCCCACCCCTTTTGCTATCTATACAGGATGAAACTGTAACCATAGAAACAGTATTTCCTTTTGATGTTGCTGTCAAATTTGTCTCCACAAAGGTACGTGTTTGAAAAGCTGTTGATATTTTGGAATCGCATCACTTCCAATAGCCACACCCGGTTTAGTTAGAAATAGCCAGATCTTGTGTCTGTCTTGACAGTTGGAGCACTTGGACAGAGTATTTGCAGATATACCATTTTTACTGATGACAGACATCCTGAGTGCCTCTCCGTGGCCTCTCACTATTGTAACCAGCCAGCTACAGCTGTCAGCTTCCATGACCCCAGTGGATCAACTGGAATCTTATGTGGAGAATGGTAAGTCATCTTAGATTATGCTCTCTATCAGGAGGATACTCTTTGCATAAGTTGGGAGTATGAAAGGGGGAAATTTTAAACGGCATTTGCTTATCAACCTCTAAATAGAAAAAAGCTGCTTAATACTAGAGTTGCTTGCCAGAACACAACTTAAACAGCAGCATCCTTCAAAACGTAGTTCTAATTCACTAGAACAAGTAAATAGACTTGAATGATAGGTGGTAACCAAAATTCTAAATATAACAGATGTAAGGGAAAGCACCTGAAAGTACTTCTGATATGCAACTTCTTAGATATCCATATGAAAAGATACTCAGTATTTCCAGTGTTTATGGGCTATGTATACTTTCTGGAATGCAAGCGCTTTACCACATGATAGAGGCAGCATCCAAAGGCTAAAGGGATCCATGTCCATGATGGCAGTCATGAAACTAAAAAATGTGAAGCTAGACAGGGTAGGCTATAAAGAACAGTTAGTAAGCATCTCTTTTTTTTTTTTTTATACTAACTATACTCTTTATACTACTAAGTTTAATAACTTATTATTTAAATGTAAAAAAACAAAACAAAAAAAACACCCACAACTTATGGATCTCGACCTTTAAGAGTGCACTATGTTAGCTTTAAAGTTAAATAAATGAAGCAGTAGCAGTAGAGCTCATCCAAAATCTTCTGATAAAACATTGTCTTTGCATTTGCTAAGTTAGAGATGTGAAAAAGTGTGTATTCCAACAAAACTTGGAATAAAATGAGGCAGTCTGGATGGCTGCCTGATTGTGGGGCAGCTGTCCACCCATGTAATCAAGGGCTTGCAAGACTCTAGTTCCTAGATTCAAGGGTTACCTGGCAAAAACCAGTTGTTTCCCAGGTCCTTTAGTCTTCAAACTAGAGGTTTCATCTTCAGCTCTGGCACCATGTGCTTCATGGCTTCTGGTGGTTGCTTCTAAAGAGCTAACTGCCAGGAGGTATGCCACCCCCCACCTCAGATACCAGCTATTCAGCTGTCCACCTTTTGGTTGATTTTTCACACTTAAATAAAACTTAATAAAAATTAATGATTAATTTTGAATGACTGAAACATCTGTTTTCTTAGTAATTACTTTTAAATCGCTCCCTATGTGAAAAGGTACTTTTTTTTTTTCTTAGTTCATTCAAGTGAAAGAAAAAAAAAAAAGAAGAAAAAAGAGTGAAAACTCAAAGCCACTAGATTTTTCTTTTGTTCCCTTTTCCCCACCTCTCATCCATTTGGGTGGGAGAGGAGAAATGTCCGTGTTCGTTTTCATTTTAAAACATGAGATGTCTCATGCTGATGCCTTGGAACTTGCTGTGGGAGAAGTGTAGAATTTGAATTGGCATTGTTTTGCTTTTTTGTGTGTGTGAACTCTAACTTTCCATTGCCTTGTTCTGTGTATACATGAAAGACCTCATAATGCTGTTCAGAAAGTAATCTGTCATATATTTGTATGTCACCCTTTTACGTCTTGGGATACTTCACAATTTTTATTGAATTTATAAATTACGTAGACATAGTTTGCAAAGCACTTCAGAAGCCTTTCTGGCTGAACACTTGTGTTTGTGTCATATTGGATTTTTAGACTTGGTGGCTTCTGCAGTAATGATTACACTTTTGATTTTAAACCAAATCTTGCTGATAGTTGTTTTACAGACAGGTGAGAGTGCCAGCGAGTGCTTTTGCCTTCGATGTCCTCCAGTTACTAATGCTGGTGGAGTGGCAACTGGATGTTACGTCATTTCCTGGAAGAGGTGGGTGTCTCTTGGCTTGGATGGCAAGAAGAAATAAGTTAGTTTGTAGGGATGATGGTGAGTTGGGGTTTTTTTTTTGGGGGGGGAGGGGAGCTTTTTTGATGTTGGATCTTCCTGTAGCAAGCACTGTCTAGACTTTGGACCTTACTAATTACTGCTTAGCGTGTTAGATTTTTGAATAAATATATATTTCACTTAAGAGATAAATATTACGTAGTTATAGTTTTAACATTCCATGGAGCTTTCTTCTTTGTAAGATCTTAGGTCAATTATAGAGCTGTTTTGTCACCTGCCACTCCCTGTTTTCTCCAATCATGAAATACTTCACTTGAGAAGCCAAGTCAAAGGAATAGTTTTGTGATAGTAGAAACAAACAAACTTTTTAAATGGGAAAACTGTTTTCCCACCCTAGATTGTGTGTTTACGTGTTCACTCAGTTTTCAAAGACAAATATTGAGGTATATCTTTCTTCTAGTTTGCTTTTATTTAGTTTTAGAGCTGTTTAGTGTTCTTACTTGTCTTTTGCAATTTTATATAAGTATAATAAAAGGATTTGGTTTTTTTTTTTCTTTCCACTACTGAAATTGCTGTAATTTTAGTTTAATCACATGTACGTGATGTTCTTTTGGTGTACACACATGTTACTTCGTATAATTTTCAACATGGTCTGTGTTTGACTTTTTCCTGCAGAAGCTCACCTGTGGAAAGTGTACCTGTTGTTAGTACAGTCATCACTCTGCCGCATGTGATTGTAGAGAGCATTCCCCTCCATGTTAATGCAGGTAATGTTAATTTGACAGCATACATGTCCCCATTAGAATTTTAAGAAGGTCTGCAGTTTTACGGCATCCAGACCTTGAACTTACTGCAGCAAAAGACAGAAAACTGGTGCTGGATATTATGGAGCTAGTGAAAGAACCTATACCGTCACTTAGACTGCCCCAAACTTTGTCCCTTCCCCCTTTCAGTTCAAGGGAAGAGCTGGAAGGTAGTTATGCAAATGCATTCTCTTAAAAGCTGTCCAAAAAAAAAAAAAAGCTGTCCTGTGTTCCGTGGCAGCACAGAGGCCAGTTACCTCTGCTGATGCTGCCTTCCCAGTAGGTTTCTCTAGACGCCCATGGCAAGAATTGTTCCATCCACCCACGCTCTGGCTGCATCCCAGGAAAGAGGCAGCCTGGAGAATTGGAGCTGCTTGCGGGCAGGTGAACTGTTCTCTTCTAGCACTTCACCTGCGCGAGAGCAGAGGGGTAGTGGAGAGCTCACTCAACACACAGAGTTCCTATGCGTTTCTCAGTTCCGTTTCATTTATACTGAGTTTCTTCCACCATCCTTTCCTGTTATATTTTGAAGGAGCTTCCTGACAGTATCTGATAAGGTTTTGGTAAACTGAAATTACCCAGCAGCAACCAAAGTGACTTCCTAGTTAGCATTCCTGGACAGGGTTAGCAGGTGGGGGTTTTGTAACTAGATGTTGAACTGTTATTGAAAAGTTGTCATGAAGCTGTGTTCTGTTCTTTAGTTTGTTTTTTTTTCTGAAAAATCTTGTCAGAAATACTTTAGATGCCTGGTTATTGTATCTTTTTTTTTTTTTCCTTTCAAACTTTTCACTGCTCTTTACGATAGACACATTTTTTTATGTATGGAACTTTAAAATGTATTTTGTGTTTAAGATTACTTACTTTTTTTTCTTTCCCCAAAGATCTGCCATCATTTGGTCGAGTCCGAGAATCCCTACCTGTCAGATATCACCTGCAAAATAAGACCAACTTAGTCCAGGATGTGGAGGTGTCAGTGGAACCCAGTGATGCCTTCATGTTCTCTGGCCTTAAACAGGTACAAAGTTGTCACGTCAACTGATCCTGCTGGCTTAACTGGTAGTAAAGAATACATCGATTAGACATATGCTGATGTGCAGGGAGGACAACCTCATTGTGTTTTAGATGTTTA